CTCCCACCAGTTTCGACATGTCATAGCCTTTTTTGCCTTTTTTTTCATTGCTTCTGTGTGGAGGAGTTCTTACAGGCTGGTGTGTGAACTATACCTAACACATTCTTCTCTAATTGCTTACATCATTGAGTGGTTTTCTGTACCTCTGGTTTTTGCCTTCCTCCAATTGCCATTCTCCAGTTTACCCACAGCCTCTAGTGTTGTGAGTTTTGCCTGTTGTGTTTTTCAGTCATCTCTGTGTCTTTCATATGTTTGTGATACCTCTATATGTGTACCATGATTTTTGTACACATTCCAATACATGATAACTTTCTCAACAACAACAACAATAAACACAAACTGAACTGCAAAAGGCAAAACTCACCAGATAAAATGTTGCATGAGGAAATACACCATGTTTCTCATACTTGGTATCATCGAAACCTGCTGAGTGGGTGGCATTGCCTCACATTGAATATTTACCCAAAATCCACATCAAGCAAGTAAGAATGGAAAGCATTATATCTTTCTGCCCCCAATTAGTGTCCACTGTTGAGATAGGGTTTTCTGCAACACTGTAATTTACATTGCCATTTCCACACCTTTTATAAAGCAAAACAAAATGGACAGCACCAGATGTAGTGTTGCCCTTATGCTGTCATTAGTTGTAGTAACCCATTGCACTCTTTCCTGTGGGGTCCCAATCCAGATGAAATACATTTTCAATTAAGAAAAACATTAACCTTTGTGAATTGTGGCATTAATAAATTAAGCTTAAAAACCTTGAATTAATCAAAAATAATAATGAGAAATGGTAATAACAATATTTTGGATGGTTGGAATAATTAAAAACAGTAATAATTGGAAACACTATTTTTGGTTAGTTAATATACATTCCTGACATTAATCAATTCAGTTGTAACTTTGATTAATTGATTATTTTATGTGACACTAATTGATGTGATTGGTCCACAAAAAATTATTTAATTAACTATTTTCATTACTGGGTTAATTTTTAGTTTTGATGTTGGTCGGTAGCTTGCTCTGATTGGAAATAAATATTAAATGTTTTTTCTAATGAAACTTCTAGGACAAAAAATTATCAACATAGGAAATTCATGAGGAATCAACTGAACTTTAAAAGGATTTAGATAAATGTGATTATCAATGGTGAGAGCATGAAAGTTAATAACTATGAAAATGCTTAAAAAGGCTGATTTTTGGGAATGTTTCTATAAATCAGATGGATCTAATAAGTTTTTTTTGAGTGAGAAGGAATGTGAAAAATGAGATTCACTAAAGAGAAGTGTGAAGTATTGCACTTGGGATTTGGAAAGAACTTACTTCTTTGCACAAGAAGAATGTTGGTATTAAAGCAGAGGAAGAGGATTTTTGAAAATGTGTGAAAAATTTGGTCAAATATTTGACTAAAGCAACAGAAATATATAAGAATAAGGAATTAATATATTGTGGCAACATATTGTATGTATTGTTTAGTAATGTCCTTTATTTAGTGTAATATGGATACATAAAATATCAAGGTTATATTACTTTTACTTCCTGAAACCACTGGCTATGATATACTTATAGAATTTTTACATTCCAGCCAAAGAACGTGATCATACCTTGTATAAAACTTTGAGGCATAATTTAAAGTGAAGGAAGTATAGTGGTATCCCTTGCATGGGATCCATTGGAGACTCCTTTTTTCCTTCTTCCTTCCCTTGTAGGTGATCTGCATTGGTGGTTGGACAAAGCTCATACGTCAGTGGGTGTTCCACTTCCTCCCCCTCGTCCAGATTTACATATCTCCATGGATGCTTCCCTTCAGGGCTGGGGGTGTGTGAGTTGATCAGCAGGAAGCTTGTGGTTGGTGGTCTCTGACTGAAATATGTTACCATATCAATATTTTGGAGCTTCTGGCTGTCCAGGAATCATCTGGTCATGATCCATTCTGAAAATTCTACGGTGGTGGCTTACCTCAATCACCAAGGTGGCACCTGTTCTCTTTCCTTTTGTGGTTACATCTTGGATCTTCTCTTTTTTGGGCCCACATGCTCGGTATTTGTATCATTGTGTGTTATGTTTCGGGTGCATTCAATCTTGTTGCGGATTGGCTTTCCCATCGAGACAAAGTTTATTCAACGTAGTGGTCTCTCGATCCTCTTGTTTTCTAGTGGTTATGTCTTCAGTGAGGTACTCCTCACCTGGAGACAGCCATTCCTATCCTTCATCTTCATGCCTAGTTTTTATTGGGTCTGTGGCGAGGAGATCTGGTTTGTCCCAATGGGTAGCTTCTTTTTTAGGTTGTTCCATTCACCCTTCCTTTAGGGATGTTTATGAACATTAGTGGAGTAATTTTTGCCATTGGTCTATGGGTCAAGGGTTCTCACTCACTATACCCATGTTCCTGATATTACAGATTTCCTCAATTGGCTCTTTGATCAGGGGGTCTTCTATGTCCTCAGTTGTGGGTTATCTGGCTGCTTTATCTCACACTTTTCATTTTTCATGGTACTGTAAAGTTTTTACTGCTTCTACCCTTTCCCTCTTGCTTCGTTCCTTCTGGATTAGTCATCCACCTTGGTGTGTTGTCCTTCCATTTTGGAATATTAATATGGTTCTTCACTGCCTCACTTTGCCTTCGTTTGAACTGCTGTCCTCGTGCTTGATTTTCCACTTGTCCCTTAAGACTTATTTTTTCTTTTAGCCTGTGAACATCGTACATATTTGTCATCAATGTTTCACATACTTTATATCATTCCACTTATATTCTCCTTTATCCAGATCAATCTTTCCTTCCAAAACTTCAGTGGTTCAGGAGGATTATTCACCCTTCTCACCTATTTCCCTTCTTTCCATTTCCCTCCTTTATCTTCAGTTGGATCCGGATAGGCTACTATGTCCTGTCTGTGCTCTTCACTTTATATTGCCTGCATGGCTTCTTTCCGTAGTGCCTGTTCCTGCCTATTCATTCCTTGGCAGACATCCTCTGTTTGTGACCTTTCTCCTTCCACCCTGACCTATTGGGTTCAGCTTTTAATTCGGTTAGTTTATTCTTCCTTATTGTCTTATTCCTGTACTTTGTTCCAGGTGTCTTCTCATCAGACCCTTAACTTTTACCTGGTGTCTCTTCTCTGTCATCCCTTGGAGGACATTCTTCATTCGGGGCTTGTGGACTACTCCACATACTTTTATATCTCACTATCTGTATCTTCATCTTCAAGTTACCTTCTTCTGACTGTAGTCATTCTTCAGACTTCAGTGAGACTGTGACTGGGTAAGTTTTCAGGGGCTTCTCCCTTTTTCTTTACATTGTCTGTATCCTGCTCTGTGTTGAGTGGTGCTTGACCACATATACCTCAAAATAGTCAAATCCACACTCTTAGGCCATAATGGCTTAACAGTTATAATTTCCATGGACACTGCTGAGATGAGGTGTTCCACAAGATCGCTTGTAGGTTTGTCTCACGATATATTTGTTTCATTAGTATGCTCATCATGGAGTGTATTCACTTGTGGACTTCGTGGGTAAAGCAAAAGGCGATAGCTGCCCATCCCTGCCATGCCTTAGATTGAATAAATCAGGTGTGGTCTTCTTTTCAAAGTAGGGTTTACATGGTCACCTGTTTGGATTTAGAGCTGAACCAATCAACACAAGTCTTCACACATGTATTACAGGTGTATCTATTTCCTCACTCGATTATACTCTTGTTCCTCCATTTATGTTGTTGGTCACGATGGATTAATTGCAGATTAATACTGTTCTTTCTCTTATGTTGTCCCTCGATTTTATTATATTGAGGATGTTATTGTGCTGGGGGCAGTTCCTGTTAGTTTGGTTTTGAGTGAGATGGTTTACAAAGACATCTTTATGATACCAGAAGTTTGGTTCCCGGTTTCATCAATTTCTCACATTGCTATCATGTGTCATTCATAGATTGGGAGTACGAGATTTCCTTCAGTCTGATGAACTTGAGGTGAAGACAGTATGTTTCCTACCCCCACAAGGTGGGTGGGTTTTGAATTGTAGTTGACTTGCTGCCAGTATGATGTTTTTTCCTACCCCAACGTGGATGTTGGTTCCTGGTGGCCTGGGTTTTGGGTGTAGTTGACTTGCTGTGTATGGTCCTTTGTGCCCTTTAGTTGACTTCTGTGTATGATCCTTTGTGCCCTAGCCATTCTACACCTGGAGGCACATCCTTTTACTCTCACCCACATTGTACTCTAAGAGATTGAGATTCCAATATCATGTGGTTTGGATCCCTATCCAACCATTGTTATTTCCCTTTTGGAAGTTGCTCCTCCCATTTTCCACCCATGTCTGTGACACCTTTTTCCACACTGGGTGAGGAGTATACCTGATACAGAAGTGGTGTGGTCTCCCATGTGTGATCCCCTACTTTGAGGATCTACTCTTTTAGGGTGTCCTTCAATGTGGGATTCTAGCTATTTATTCGAGCAGAGGTAATATTCTGTATCAGAAGTTATAATTTTCCTATACTGAAAATGTATTTCCTATAGGTACTTACATACCTCCTCTCACCCTTTCTTCCCACTAAAAAAGGTGCTTCCATTTCCTGCCAGAAGTGATAGTTTGGAAGAATTAAATAGCGGGAGTCACATGCATGAGGAGAGTGTGTATCACACTTATTGGTGGAGGGTTTTTGCACATGGAAGCTCAAGGCTTATGGCATGCAAAACCATTTTTTTGCATATAGAGAGCAACACTGAAGGAGAATAGTTATTTATGTGAGAGGAGATAGGTACCTTTCGGAAATCTATTTTCAGTTTAGGAAAATTATAACATCTAGTTTTATGTAAAGAATAGAAATGACAGTGTTTTACTCTTTCAGAATATTTTAAAGATAAATAAATTTTTATTGTGAAATTTTGCCATTGGAGATTTTTTGTACTGTTTGTTATTGCACATAAGAATTTGTTAACTAATTTCTCTCAACAGGTAATTATAGTTTTTAGTATTTTTTCATAATTTGTACATTTTTTACTTTTTAATTCAGGATCTTAGAACTGGTGCATTTTTTAAGTAGCGAAGAAATAGATCAATGCAGGCTCTAGACCGTGCTATTCTTCGACCTCAGGTTCGATTGGATAGTAAATGGTTGAAAATGGATCTACAGGTCTGTTTTTTTTCTTATGTTAATGTTCTAGTTTTAGTTCAGGTAAAGTAAATATTTCTTCAAGGCTAAAAGTCCATTTTCACATATTTTAATGATAACTTTAAAACAAAAAACCAAAAGTGCTGGTTTTGTCAACTGTGCAGAATTACTGCTATGCCCAAGAAGTGGAAAGATACAGAAAACAAACTTTTATTTTGTGAAGAAATATCTTTAATTGAGCTGAATGACATAAACACCAAGAATAGAAATCAAAGGAAACAAGTTTGTTGGCAAAAAATACACATTGCATTTACATTTAAACATATCAACTTGAAATTGGTGAGTTTAGATTGTGTTTATTTCCTATGGTTCATTTGCTACTAATCTACTGATTTGAGATGCTTTTTTAGAATTTTCTATTGTACTTCAGTTGGATTGTTAATGCAATGATATATATATATATATACAGTATTACAAATGTGAATTCCAAAAGTTGCATACTTATTCTCTACATTCTGGTGAATGGACAATCAGTCCTTCAACCTTATGGATTTATGGCATGTAGAGAGAGAAGAACGCTGTTAGCTATGTGATCTATATGTGGAACTACATTTTTTAACTCTACATTTATATGAATTTCTTTTTTTATTGCACAAAGGTGAAAATTATCAATACAGAGAAGCCATGAACTTTGAATGAAGTTTTATTAAACATTTATCAGGGAATATTAAGATGCAGTGAAGAACTTAAACATTAGTGTTGTTTTAAAAGTGAACAGTTGTGATGTCCCTTAGATATTGCATACAGATTATTGTTAGCATGTATAGTTATGTCCACGTACATGGTTTATATGTATCACACACATGTATTAAGTGTATCAGTTGCAGTCTGTGTATGTGTTTACAGTGTGTGTATGCTATAAATTTTAATAGATATAGTAAATTAGGAGAATGATTAATAATGATTATACAAAGTGAATCTAAGTTTCAAATGGACAGCAACTGCCTGTTGTAGAAACCTACAGGCGGAAGACTTTCGAAACGTTGTCCTCTATATTTTTAGTTTTCTACTTAGGGCATTTCCTGTCCATTTGAAACTTAGATTCATTATGAATACTCTGCCTAAACAACCTATCAAAGATTATACAAAGTGA